TAGAGGAAGAGATAACATCAACAATACAGGGAGGAGGCTTTTATGCTGGGTCTACACCAGCAAAACGAAGTAGATTAAGGCAACTGTTCAGGTAATTCTAATTCTCCAAAGTTAGCTAATAATAAATATAATCATAAAGAAATTGAACCTTGATGTTTTATATAAATAAACAATACACAGTCCCTTCTTCAGTAAAAATAATTGTAAGATATTTTTTGAAAACTTGGTCTTTAAATCAACAAGGTTGCTAAGAGGTACTAGGACACTGCGTGGTCTTACTGGAAAACAGATTACCGAACCAAGTAGCATGAAGTCTGTATGAACACACTGCTTACAGAATGCACGTTGTACAAGAGAAGAGAGTTGCGGAGGAGGCCCTGAGACACCCATTATGTACGGGAGCAGAGAATGAAGGACTGGCAGAGAACAGGCAGTCCCAGTGAAGAAGAAACATTGGGAGGTGATGTGTCACAGAGACCAACATGAGAGAGTTTCCAAAAATGCCATTGCCAATGCTGCACAATTAAAGTGTTTTAAGAATTTTAAAGTGTCCATGTGGTTGTGGGACAAGAGGATCATCAATGACCTTGGTTCGGGACCTCCAGCAAGAGTTAGGGGTGGCGGTCATGCTAGGGAATGCCTCAATTTAAATTAGGGCAATGTGTCCAGGTGGGTTTATATACAGGCACTATATCATTAGGGTTATGTTAAAAAGCTTTAACTTAATAAATGTCTGCATTGAAATTATGCTAAAATTTTTGTATCTCTTTTTGGCAATTCCTTTCTGTTGGTTAATATAAACAAAGCAATAACAACAAAAACAAAAAGAAAGAACAAAGTAGCCCAGACCACTGATAGCCTCTATGAGGTCAGATGTTGCAGCGGATTGGTGTGTATGAAGTTTAATTTCTTTAAAAAAATTGTGCTTATTCTATGAATTTTTTATTTTAAAAGACAACATCCAATAAATTATTATTGGATAATGTATTAAGTATTAAGTATATTATTAAGTAAAAGAAGCCAAACTGAAAAGGCTATGTAATGTATGATTCCAACTATATGACATTCTGGAAAAGGTAAAATTACAGAGATAATAAGACGATCTGTGGTTGCCAGGGGTGGACAAGATGGAGGGAGGCACAGACAGAACATAGAGGACTTTAGGGCAGCAAAACTGCTCTGTATCATACCATAGCAATGGAGACATGTCATTACACAGCACCTGTTCAAACCCAAAGAATGCGCAACACCAAAGTAAACCCTAAGGTAAACTATGAACTTGAGCCGCTGATGATGTGTCAATGCAGTTCACTAACTATAACAAAGGGACCACTCAAATTACACTGTCTTGCCTCTGGTCAGTAACCAGCTGCTGACAATCAGCTCTGAGCCCCCACAAGCCCTCCACCAAAGAAACTGACAAAACCTACAAAGGCCTCCTTCAAACGACATGGCCAGGTCCTCACCTAATCACATGACTGTGACCCCCACCAGACCACATTCTTGCCCAGGAGCACAGAGCCTCTAATCCGCTTTTTAGATCCCTTCCTAAATATGAACAATGAGCCAAAGATCACTGGGCATTTGAGGAAATCTCCAACAATAAATGAGAGAATAACAAATAGAAGAAGCAACCTGGAATAAACAGACACATGAAAAGAAAGGAAAAGAAAAGAAAAGAGCTGTACAGAAAAGAATGGAGACATTCTGCATTCGTGAAATAAATGCTAGATGCTGCATGTTAGAAAGTAGAACAATTTATAAAATAAGCACAACTTTTTAGAAATCAAAAACAGCTAGCAGAAGTTAAAATTTCAGTAGAAGATCTGAAAGATGTTAAGTTGAGGAAATCTACGGAAAATAGAAGAAAAAACAAAGAAAAATAAGAGTTATTGAAAGAAGATAAAAAAGAAAAAACAGAAAAACTTTTCAATGAAACAACATAAAAAAAATTCTGAGACATTTCTGAGAAATCCTGGTTGAAACGGCCTACCTAGTACCCAACACAGAGAGTGAAAAAGAACCACACCAAAGCATATGGCTGTAAAATTTCAAAGCAATCGCAATAAAGAGGAGATTGTAAAAGCTCCTAGAGAGAGAAAAAGGTCACATGAAAGGACTCGCAAACAGGATGGCACTAAATCTTTCGACCGCAACACTGGAGGGCAGAAGGTAATGCAGCAGTGACATCAAATATCTGAGAGCAAGTTCTTCCAGCCTGGGCTGCTTTGCCGAGGCAAGCCCCAGTCGAGTGAGACACACGCAAACTCACAAGGTAACCCAGCTTTGCCCTCACGTGCCCTTTCTCAGGAGGGAAGAACAGATGAATTGTAGAAGGGGATAGACTTAGAAACTCCCTGAAATGCGGGAACAGGCCCACAAGAGGATGTCACAGCATCCTGGAAACATAGGACTGCCCACAGGAGACAAGCAAAGGGACTTCCTGGGCTTGAGTCCTGGGGGCGTGGCAGGAGATGGCTGCACAGCAGGCCTGGGGAGCCAGCAGACCAGGCCCGGCAGGGACGCATGGAAGAGAGGCCTCCAGGGCCAAGAGGAAGAAAGGATGAGAGGGAGGGAAGGATAATTTAATATGTTTCAATGTCCTGGAAGAAGATCTGCCATCTGTCAGAGACTTTGCAAATGAACTCATGAAAAGATAAATTTAAAAACTAAAGAAACAAAAATACATTAACTCTAGGGAAAAGAAACATATTATTCAATAAAGGAAATAAATATAATCTCAGCCAGAAACAACAGTTACATAATCATAATAATGGAAATATTGAGTATTGATTTAAATAAAAATTATAATTTAAAGTGTAGGGACAAAGGGGAGCAAAATCACAGTATGGGAGGGTAATAAGAGAATTAGCCTCATCTTCCGGAGCAGGAAGTTCATAGGTATCTTAAATATCAAAGCAGGACAGTATACACATGTTATTAAGAAGTATGGCAGCAGGAGAAACAGCTAAAAGCTGGAAGTGACTGTCACCAGGACAGAAAATTTTAGGTGGGAGGAGAGGGGTATAACCCAGAGGGAGAGAGAAATAGAGTACTAGTCAACTATTTAAATTATATTTATATTCTATTTTGATAAAGATAGAACTTGAATTAGATAAATGAATGCCAGGGTGTTCAGGGCTTGCAGGCTATTCCTTTGAGAAGCTTAAATAGCCTAGTAAAAAATAAATAAACTTGTCCAGACATGGAACTTTTAAATTTGGAGAAACACTGAAGAAGTTATTATAGTGGCAGAAAGGAGATGGGGCATCTGAAGGAACAAGTTCTCCCTGAGAAAAGAGGATTCAGGAGTCTGGAGCATGTGCATCCAAAATAGGGCCTAGGCAGAGAGACAGACAGCTCTTCCTCAGCGATGAAGGGTAGAGGACAGAGGAGAATCAACTGGAAAACAAAGTACATGAGGAAGAAACATACCTGTGACTAGAGGACCAAAATAGTGCTTAACAATCTCTTCTGGGGGATGAGTAGGAGGCCAAGGAAAGTGTTTGAGAAGTTACCAGAAGAAAATATTAATTTCAATTAGATCAAGTAAATTTGATCAGGACGGACACACGTTGTCTTAACAGACAGTACTTGTAGTCAGTCATTCTTCTATGCTCCCATAAAGCTTTCTAACACTTACCATTATCATATCAATACTAACACTTTAAAAGACTGTGTTTCTACTAAATTATGAATTCTCGAGAACCATCTTGTCCATTTGTATACAACCAACAGTGGCAATTGTGCTTGCTGTGAAATGCATTTTTGTTGTATAGATATAGAAATATTTTATTCCCCAAAGTACAAAAGCATGTCAACACACACACACACATATTACTTTTAAATGTCTTTTGTAGGCCAGAAGTCAGTATTCAATAATTTTACTACATATTTTTTAAATAATACATAATGTCTCATCATAGTTTAACTCCTCCACCTCAAATACTCCAATTCAAATTCAAATTTACATCTGAAGCTGTCTCTCTAAAGTACAACCTACAATCTGTTTTGGATGGTGCCCATACTTTGACCTCAGAACAGCAGGGAAAACTACGTGAACCTATGACTATCTCATGGATTCTAAGTTAAAGCTCAGGAACATTCACCATGAATAAAAAATCTGTAATTGGTAATGAATATCTGCCCAGCCTAATAATTAACCTGAAGATTTTATGTTTTAAAATATAAAATTTACTGATCCAGAATTTGAGCACAGTTGGTCTCTACTAAGCACTTCCTATTATTTCAACATATTTGATTTTATATTTTTCCTAAGAGGGAAATAATAGTCATTATTCACTATACTATTAATGCTAATTTTTAAAATTCTGCTTTCCTCTCCACTACATTTAAGCTGAAAACCAATTTCCTTGGTAATGGCCTAATAACTTTTCCATAAAACACTTCAGATGCATCTCAAATAGGCTCAGATAGGGAGAAGGGGAGTTTAAAAAGTAAATAGATAAGAAGCAAGAGCTTTATTTGGTATTTAAATCTTAGGCTGAGTTTGGAGGATATTTTTTATTTCTATTAGTTAAAATGCTTGTTGTCATTAACATAGTAGAAAAATGAATTTGAAAAAGTATATCTTGAATGCCAGAAAATGTCAATAAATCCTAATTTTTAGTTTTACAATGCAGTAAAACAATCATCATTATCTAAATGATTTAAACTAATCAACAATTTAGGACAAAATTCATATTTGTACACCTGCATACACCTCTCCACAAATTCCACAAGGTACCAGTTGACCACCTAAGATTGTTAGAGTAGCATCACAATGTAGAACCACCAAACTGACACCGTCATAATTTCATCTTTTTATTCTTTCAAAAATGTTTCAGAAAACAATTCCCAAAAATGTATTTTATAATATATAAAGGTATCTGACAATGGAGTTATATTAGTTCTTTAAGGTCAGACAAGCTAAATGAGAGTTTAATAGCTCCAAGTTAACTACAAGTATATAAGAGCAGGCAGAGCATCTTCTGAAATACCTGATTTTGACTTCAGGATAACCTGAATGGTATGTCCATCGTTGGTGACTTCACAGTCTCGGCAGACCACATAATTGGGCGAGAGGCGGACATCCAGAAGTGAGGGGTCATATCGAGCTTCTCTCGAATTCAGGTTAATGGGAGACTGGTATTCCCCATTAGCATCAGGAAACACCAAGCCCCATTCAACACCTAAGGACAAAATGAAACATATTAATATCAGGATAAAAGAAAGTTACAGTAAAATTTAACATGTTAAAACTAGTTTAGAACAGTTTATAATCCTTGACATTATTAAGTGGGTTATGACTACCATCTCTATACAATGAAATATGGTCAATGTGTGTGAATCTTCACATTTATATTTTGAATGACCTCATATTATCAAATACCACACAAAAAAACCCTGAACTCACATAATATTCTGTTTGTATTTGTCTACAGAAATGTAATAATTTATGTCTAAGAAATTTAGGTCATCATTAAGTGATCAGAAAAAATAATACCACAAAAATTTCTTCTGCTCACCAATTCAATTATGTGCAGTACTTGGGAAATACCTGTAATTCTCAACATGCTTAATGAGATCCCCAAACCATAACTCTAATGCTAGTGAGTAAACCTCTTATCAGAAATGCAAGTACAGTATTTTTGAAGTGTACATATATACATGTACGCATACCTATATATACACTCTCTCCGTATTTTTATAATTAAAATGATAAATTCTACAATTGTTTTCGTAGATGTAGTCAACATCAGCACCAGTGGTTAGCTCTGTTAACAGACCTACATTTTCAGAGGGATAAATTTAGGAACCTAAACTTTTTTAAAAAGTCGACCCCGTCTTGCCAAGCCCATTGATTCAGCCTGCAATTTAGGACTTGTCTGGAAAGAATCAGCCGTGTTAGTGTCCTTCAGGAACAGAGTAGAGGCAGGATACTTTCTCTCACCAGGGTCCCCATAGCAAGCAAGAAACGAATAGTTTCACTAACACCGTATTCTCAAGGTGTTGAGTAATGGTTAACGCTGCTCCTTTTAGCTACTTTGGAGAGAAGAAACGTCAGAGCTGCAGCTTTAAGGCTTGCCCGCCGGACGAAGGCAGGTGCCAACAGCTGCCGGGGAGAAAGGCCAGGCTCCCCAACCCGAGCGCAGGTGGCAGGCCCGCCCGCTCTCCCTCCTGCGCCTTCGGCCCCCGAGACAGGCCACCGGCACGGGAAAGTGACAGAGACCCACGTGGGAAAGAAGGGACTCGGCGGCGTTCCGAGCGCCAGAGAGCAGAAGTATGCAGAGCCCAGCGCTGGGCAGAACACACGCGACGCGCAGCGTCCCACGCGCCGTCCCGGGACCCTGGTCGCCTCAATATGCGGCGGGTTACCTTCTTCGTAGCCCCACTCGACACCCTCTTCCTCTTCCTCTTCATCCTCTTCCTTCTCCGGGAAAGCGACGGTATCTTCGATGAAGCTCAGATCAGCCATGGAGAAGCCGTGGGTCCTCTCTGAGCTCTCGCTGACTGTGCCTGCGCCCCTGCAGGGTAAGCGGGCCTGAGCAGGGGTGTGAGCGTGTGAGTGTCAGCGGGTGAAACTAGGCTTGTGAGTGCACGAGTGTGAGCGCACGTGAATGGGTGGGAGCGCGCGTGGCGAATGGCAATGTAAGTGTGGGCGCCTGTATGTGAGTGTGAGTGTGAGCGTGAGCGCGAGCGCGAGTGCGAGGGGGCGTGAACTCCGTCCGGAGTTGTCGGGCTGCCGGCGCGGGGGGCCCCGTCCCAGTCCCGGTTGGAGCGCGGGAGAAGGAGCAGTTCCCGGAGCTGGAGCGAGCGAATTATAAACCCGGCCGGGGCGTGTCTGGCACGTGAGGATCCGCCCCCTTGGCTCTTTGGCCGCAGGACCCGGGGAACGACTGCAGGAAAAGGCCCCGGGGCTACCGCGCGGAACCGGCGGAAACCGCTGGGTCCGCTCCCCACCCCGCTCGCGCTGCCCTCGCTTGGGCCCGGCGCCTGCGGGCCAGAACCTGGTGAGTCACCCAGGGTCTGTCCTCAGGTCGTCGGTGTGCAGAGCCCAGGCCAGGGCCTTTCTACTCTCACTCATTTTCATCCTAACTCCAGGAGATAACAAAAACCAAGAAAGAGGGTCGGGGAGGAGAAAGAGGGACTGCCTAAGGCAGGAGAAAAGAGAGGGCTGAGAGACCCCGTGACCGACGAAGGATCGTTTCCCCACTCCGAATCCTTATTTCTGAGTATTTACTTTTTAATTCGCCCTTGCAACACAGTGGAAACACGTACGGAAAAACTTCCAAGAAACTTGTAGTTCCTAAAAACATTTAAGAAAAAAAAGTGTTTTAATCCAGAAAGGTACATATAATTTAGGGACATTTTTCCAAAAAAAAAAAAACTATTTCAAAGGCAAGAGTAGTGAAAGGCAATAAAGAGCATTTGTTTTTAGTATCAGACACTGGGGTGCTGCTGCAGAGGCAGCTGGCTGTGTACCCAGCTCCTCGTCCCCTAATGAAATCGTGTAAATAATGAAATGCACACATTGCGTAAGTAACAGAAACTTTCCTGATCCAACGAGGTGGCATTGTTACCTCTTAAATATGCTTCCCAGTCCAGTGTTAATGACTTCAGCCCCGTGTTCCAACGCCTTTGAAAAGCTTTAGCCAATAACCCCTGAGAAGGTTAACCCCGCATTTTTAGAATGTGCTGTTACAAGGTATCTGTATATAATAAGCTCAGATTTGGACCTTCAGTAAAATTTGTTTTTATATGCTCTGTGCACTCACTAAAATGCCTGTTGGCAGTTTGAATCATGGGTTCCTAAATCATACGATCCCTGTGAATGCTTAATGCCTCATGTAAGGTGGGAGAGGCTCACTTGGGGGATTTTTGGGTTCTGTTGTCTCCTGCCTGCTCAGCCCTCCCCTTTTTTAAAAAGCTACATCACGGGTTATTAGAAATTTCTCCAGAAAATGGATTGGGACTGAAAAGGGGGGAAATTCAGTCAGTCTGCCATGCTCTAAAATGTTTAGCAAAATGGGCGAAAACTATTGTCAACATTAGCTTTGAGGATGACCTGTGGATTTCATGTAATTCAAATAATTTCTCTTTATCCTTAACACAACACCAGAAAGTCCACAGTTCAGTCTGAGAGAAACTAAATTCATTCTTTGCTCACTGCCTTGTGGATGTTCTTTCATGAATAGCCTCTCTCGTCTGCCCATTAGTGAGCCTGAGTTTGACAGAAGCAGAAGTCTGTCCCAAAGCTATAGCTATCAGAAATAAGAAGCACTACACCAAATATTAACCAGTTTCCTCTGAAGTTCTTCTAAAAGGAATATCTCATTTCTTTCTCCTTTCATGAAAACTTTTTCAGAATCTTGAAAATTTTGTAAAGTTTCTTTTAAAAATATATTCATGCATCAGTCAAATGCTGCAGCTAATGGACCCTCTGGAGGGGCCCACAGTAAAATCATTCTGCCATCGCAAGCCCATCAGCAGCATCCATGTCCCTCTGCCCCGAAATGTACGCAGAAGCTACATCATAGCCATTGTGTGACCACCAATTGCATTTAAAGTATCACATGAATTATAAAGATGTTTACCAAACCAGGGGACAGCGAAACCACCATGGGAAAAAAAAAAATCCATTTTCCATGGGTAAATGGTGTGCCATATTTACAGCAGATAGGCTGAAAGACTGAATTGTTAATATTTAATTTTTCAGCTAACAGATAATTTTGCATATGGCCAACAATGAACCACCACTCATAAATGCAGTTAGCTACTAGACAAACACGTTTATTCATATTCTTTCTGAATTTTTCAACATCATGTGTATAATGTGTAACTCCTCTCAAGCCTAGGGTGCCCTGTCCGGAAACATATGAGCCATTCCACCATGCATCCAAATATTCAATTATCAGCCTTAATTGCTTTGAGACTGTGTGCTTCAGATTTCTGCTAATTAACAGCACCTTAAGACCTTCTCTTCTCTGTCCCTGTACTATATTATCACTAAAGATGGAATTTCTATTTCTAGTTATTATAAGGTATCTGTCACCATAAAACCTAAACACATAGATCAAAGATATAGGGCAATTCTTTGATTTACAAAATAGAACAAGAACACCTAAACCTAATATCAAGGAATCTAAAAATATTCATGTTCTATATTTGAACATAAGTACTCTACATATCCCTCTATATAATTATAATGCATTTCACCCGAATACCATATTTGATTCCTTAAATTAACTTTATATTATTCACTGTTATTATTTGCATAATTGAGGTCAAACAACATCAGTAGCACAATCTATTAAAACTAAGACCTATATAGCTAATTACTTGATACTAAGAGAGTATAAATAGAAATACCTAAAAGGGACAAACCTATCTAGATGTCAAAGGAACAAAGAGATAAGATTGCATCCAGCACTCAGTACCTATACAACCCTCTCTTCCCAACCTTCTCACCCCACTGCTATCTTACCAAGCTTTCTTACTGCCATGGTGAGTTTTGGTCCTAGAACTGTCATAAACGGTTATTTCCTTCTTCTTGTGTGTACCTAATGCTCTGGGAAAACCTCAAGGATAGAGCTAACACATGAATGTCAAATGATTTCTAACGAAACTATAAATCTCTAAACTTCAACAACAATGAATTTTGCCCCTTCATATGCACTGCTCTGCAATAGGCACTCTAAGAGACCCCACAATGAATCAAACCTTTTTCTGCCTTCAAGGAATGCATCGTTCTCTTGGCAGGGGTTGGAGGAAGGGGAGAGGTTAAATAATTAATGATAATAAAGGCAATATATTAAATAGAGATGCAAGTACCATTGCACCTCAGGAAGATGAAACTCGTGTACATGGAAACAATCCAGGAAGTTTTCTTGGAAAAGATGTCATTTGAGGCAAACCAGAAAAGATAAATGGGATGGGGGGGGCGGCAGTGAGTGGATAGCATTCCAGGCAGGAGCAATGGTGCCGAATACTAGTGATGCTTATTGAAGACCAATTCTCTCCTCTAAGTACCTTCTGTGACCTGCCAAAACCAGTCCAGATTACTCAGAAAAAATGTGGGCTTCACGGGGCTCATGTCTTAAGTAAAACATTTCTCTGGTTGTTTAGATTGTTAGCCTGATTTTTGTTTTTCCAGTAAAGACATAAAGTTTTTCCTCATTCTATACATTTTGATTTCTAAAGGTTTCAATCTTTTATTTATAAGTCAAGAAGCTCTGATTCTTTCACATTTATTTCTTCAACTGATTAATCTCATTATTGTGCCTACTCAAAGTTGTGTTACAAGCCTATTTCTGTTTGAACTCTTCGTGGGTTTTTTTTTTGTCTTCACAACCATCAGCTTTTAGTCTTAGGCTTCAGTGTAGCTGTGGCCAATAGAATTCTTCCTGTCATCGCAGGCCCTCTCTGTGGGATCATACCGCACTGCTTTGACAAATTGCATATGGGCAGAAGTGCAGGCACCACTTTCTAAGAGAAGCTTTAGTAGTTATCGTGTGGTTCCACCATCGTTGTTGTCCCTCTGCCCCCACATTGCCCTCAAGGGATTTAAAGTGCTTCCATAATACCCTGTACGGATCTCTAGCCCTAAAATTAGCATTGTGTTTTAAGTATGTGTTTTATAGCCACATTCTCCAACTAACGATGAGCTCCCAAGAGCAAAGGGTTCATCTTATTCCTCTCTATATCCCCCATGTAGCACAGGGGAGGCATGTAGGAATTCGTTTCCCTGTGCCACCAGCCATACAGTGATCTGATTAGCCTTCATAAATATTAGTGCAATAAAAGTGACAATTACTAAGGCAGTGGCTTTCAGGGCGCAGCGGGGCCATAAAAAAAGGAGTAACAAAGTACGCTTGGTGGCAGGTGTGTCAATAGGGGCTCCATACGTGGCACTGGGTCTTGCAAGATAAATAAGGGCCCTTTTGCTCACAGAAGAGAGGAGGAAAAGAGGTAAGAAAATGCCAGTTAAAAGGAAAAACAAACAACAAAAACTTGAATATAGAAGCCAGTATGGGTTCACTTTTTGATCGAGATTATTTCCTTTTTTGTGGTTTGAATAGGTTTTCCATGGGGTAAATATAAAAGGGCAAAGTGATACATTTAAATAGTAAGTCTATGTTTGCTTTAGAGATTTTTTTTAAAATGATTCAGAATAATCTCATGACATAAAATACAGGATAAATGATATGCTTGGATGAGCACGTACTGTTGACAGAACAACTCTAAAACTTGTAGAAAGCCCTTTTTCACATTAAGAGAAGGTGCAGTAGCCAAAGTAGAACGGCCCTTTGGCCACACCAGGACTTCAGTTCCCACAGCAACCGGGACACCTCACTGTGTCTACAGCATGCTGTGGACTGTAGGAGATGTAGGAAGACCTGTTCTGCAAGAAGGCAGAACAATTCACAAGAAAATAACTCTTTGAACACTGATTTTCTCCAAAGACAGCAGCCATAAGCCCTGCGCTCCTGTCGGTACATACGGCTCCTCCTGTTGAGGAGGGCAGCTCTTTCTCATCCACTTAGTCAGGGCTGGCTTTGTGACTTGCTTTGTCTAATTGGCTGTGATAGAGCAAGCCTGTGCCAGTGTGAGGCTTTGTTTTTAAGAGGGCCGACCCATCCCTCTTTTGCTCTTGGAAACCAGTCTTCATGTAAAAAACCCTACTACCCTGAGCCCTCCATGCTATGAGGAAGCTGAAGCTATCTACAGGTGACACATGGCTGGCCACAGAGGCACAGATGTGTGGGGAAAACCCTCCACAACCTTCCC